CGGGAGACATTGAGGCTTAAAAGAAACATTTGCCTGGTCAAATCGTCATTGTTCCCTGCTGGAGTAAACACCCGCCAGTTCATTTTCTGCTTCTTCTGCTTCTTTAACAGTTTTCAACAGTCGGGCTTCCACAACAACTCTTTTCACATTCTTTTCTGATGTGGCGTCCTGAGTGGCTTCCTGATATTTGGCACGACTTTTTTTTTTATATATATACAAAAGGTTTTTACGTCCTTTTCTTCTGCTTTCCGGGTCCTGAGGCGATATTCTATTCTAGAGGCATATAGAAGAAGGAGACGCCAAGGTTTTTCCTGTGGTGTTTTGGGCCAGACACTATGATACGGCAAGTTGCGCAAGAACAAAACGTGGTCCATGGAGTCGAGTCCATTATTTGCGGTCCGAATATTTTAGATCACTTCAAGAGGCTTGCGCGCGCGCGCGCGCGCTATCTTAGCAAACTAATCTAGAGATCATCAACGCCGGTACTCTCTTGTTCTCCCCTTCCTCCATGTCGGGGCTAGGTATCTTCTCTGTTCTCATTGATCCCCAAATGACCTAGTTTTTGCCCAGCGACCCCAAATCCCCTTCTCCCCAGCCTTTATTTTTCCGTGAGCTGAGTGCCGTCCATTGTTGATTGTGACGGGCGCCCATAATCCGCCCAAAACATTAAGATCCCACGCATAGCTCTGCAGTAGTGCACGGCGCCGGCTCTCTCTTGTCTTGTGCGCTGGCCCAATGCGCATAGCGTATTTCAATGAAGCGCCTCTTTTAGGCCACTTTGGAAGAACCGCCTAATACTGGGTATAGAAACCTTGTTTCTGTGTTTCCTTTCCCCCTTCTTCTCCCATGGGCCTTGGCTCCTCTTTTTTTCTTCTCGCTTGTACGTCCTGGGCCTATTACAATTCTGGGCTCTTATTGTCTACTTGTTTGCGAAAGAAGGGATCGTCACAGCAACCAATCCCTTTTTACACCCAAATTTCGGCAGTAGAGCAGAGGTTGGACAATCGAGTCCTACTACCTACCGGGATATGCATATGCGCCCCCCCCCAAGGCCCATACCAGCGCGTGCGCGCACCACTTTGTCTACTGCTCTGGCACACCTACATAGGATTTTGTAGGTGCGTTGTTTTTAACAAGCCCCCCCCAGAAGCGGGAACAAGCATTTTGATCATTTAATGATCAGTGCTCTTTCTTACACTGCATACATAGTACTATATGCTAGGGATTCTCTTTTTTATTTCCCCATCATGATCATCCCTGATGTTGCATCGTGTCAACTTTTTTGAGATACCCTGCATTTCTTCAAGTTGATCACTTTCGGCAGTGAGACCAACAGGATTGGCACAGACGGATCTGATGGCAGGGAAGATCAAAAAAACGAGTGTCGGTCTGCATAGTCGTACTGGGGGTCCTTCCACCTTCCCATTCTCCATGAGCAAGAACGCCCGATGCCAGTTGCACTGGGACAGAACCGTTCCTCTGTGTAATAAAGATAGATAAGTTTTCAACAGGTTTGGTAATACAAGTCGGGTGAATGTCCGATTTCCCACTCTAGTCTCACCCAATCCAGTGCTTGTCATATTCTGGTGCCCTGCATTGAAAATCGTAAGCACAACTAGAGCATGAGACTTGCTTTTGTTTCCATGTAAGGCGTGTTCCTTGACATGCATGTAGATAGATATTCGCTTCTGGGCTCGGGGGCCAATCAGCTTTCTCGGTAGGGTTTATGCAGAGTGTGATGAATCTTTTTCTACACAGTAGTTCAACCTTTCCGCTGTGGGTTTCAACCCCCCTTACATTGAGAAGAGAGAGAGAATTGCAGCATATGCATGGCGACATAACCGGTTGTTTGGTCCCGACCTCTGTGGTGATTGGCTCATTCAAATCGAAAAGAGGTGGGTGGTTGTGCGTGCATTGGTGGCTTGTCCTTTTTTTTTTATTCTCAACAGTGCCGCAGCGCATAAACAAAAAAACAACTCACATGGCGGTGAACGTCAGCCCAGTCGGTACCAGTAAGGGCAATTCACTTTCCCGTTTTCTCTCATCTCACAACAACTTGGGTACTGCCATAATGAAGAATACGGATAGTACTGCCTCTCAATCTTTTTAAACTTTGCCCTTACCTACCGCCGGTTTCAATTGTCTTGGATATTTTTAAGCCCGTGTAAGCTTGACACGCGATCAGTGAGAATGAGAGATATTATTTTGGGTGTTGGCAGAGAGACTGGAACAACGACTTTCTTCAATAGCTACCTGAGTATACTCGTCTTGATGGACTGGGGGCTTGAGATGGCCCATGTTTCAGACCGAGATCTATGATCCGCTCTTCCATGTTTGAGGCGTTTAACAAGCCTCCTCCAAAAGTAATCATTCGTATATTACCGCAGTCACAGCAAAGAGTGGAAAAAGCTCCGTATGAGTTGTCGCATATGGATCATGACACTCGTCGTCTGCATGTGTGTAAGTGGATGTCATAAAGAGGAGCATGTATGTTCGAGACAAGTCGAAAAAAACAAAAAGAAGGATTTGTTCGAGGCGCCATCATTGACTGAGACACTTTACGCAGTATACTACTACTACTACTACTGGCAACGTACACTAGTAGTGTGCCCCCCTGCGACGAATGAAGAAGCAGCGCGCACCGACATCAGCCTCTTTCCCTTCTCAAGCCTCCACCCATATCTTCCACCTGTTCCGTCCAACTCTAGGCGCAGCTCACGCGGGTGCAGCTTGCGTAAGGAAGGTTTCGTCTAAGTGGACGAGGTTGGGGTGCAGCTGTATGAAGTGAAGAAGCGAAGCAAAAGTGTGCATGTGTGTGTATGTAGGCAGGTAGGCATGTATGTACGGTTTGGGGGTGGGTGGCGCCCCTCCAACAAGGAATGCGAGTGACGTGGACTGCTGTATGAGGAAGACTTGTCAACGCCCGTCGTGTCTCTGATTGGTTCAATACTTGTTTCTCTCAAGAGACTGCCTCGTCGGGGAAGATGGAAGGGGAGGGAAAATGAACCCTCCCACCCCCAAAACAAATCATTTGCCAGATCATTACTTTGCCAACCACATGAGAGAGGAGAGATGCAAGTGAGATTTCCCTTACCACAGTAGCGTTGCGCCGTAGGCTTGCTTGCTTGGCTGGCTGTGCTCCTTTCACTACCTATCAGGTTACCTACTTGTTATGCAACCCCGGTAGCGACATCCGCCGCCACGCCGACAAGAGACCTGACCAAGGATGCGCGGATTACCTTGGGCTTGTGAGCCTTGCTTTGGGTTGCGTGTCATCTCGATCTGGGGCCCTGCTACTGCTGCCACTGATGAGAGTGAGTGCCTGCTACTGACTACATTATTACTGCTGCCACGGACTTTGCCAAGTTGCTGCCCGGCCAGCCTGAGGGGGGTGGGAGTTGCGTTGCGTTGCGTTGCGCCTTTCCCCTTGGTTGTCAGCCCACATTAGCGTCGCTGCGTCGCAACGCATCTCGGCAGCTCCCATTGAACGGACAGGGGGATTGAAAGAAGGGCGCAAAGACAAGAGAGATGTGGAATACTCTTTCCAAGCACGAGGTGCACATCTGAGCCTTTTCCGGTGCCAGTGCCTGGGCGCGCTATGGATCGGTTGGTTCGGCATGGGTGGGGTGGGCCCGGCAGACCATGTGCGTCGGGTTTTTTGCTCGGGCTGTCGAGAGGTCTTTTGGCGACTTGCGATCGCTATGAGACTTTGAGATGTGCGTGTGAATACATGGCGAAAGTGTGTG